ATAGACAGAGACGCAGACAGACAGACGGGGACTTTTAGCGCTGGTTCTCGTTCGCGAGAGTTTGTCCGATGGGTTCGATATTCGGTAGCCTTCATCCTAGGACCCAACCCAACTGTGACGTCGATTTTTATTCAGATCGGACAGAGTTAACCCGAGCTGCCCGCTACAGATAGACAGAGACACAGACAGACAGACAGACTTTTAGCACTGGTTCTTGTTTGTGAGAGTTTGACCGATGGGTTTGATATTCGGTAGCCTTCATCCTGGAACCCAACCCGACTGTGCCGTCGATTTTTATTCAGATCGGACAGAGTTAACCCGAGCTGCCCGCTACAGATAGACAGAGACACAGACAGACAGACAGAGACTTTTAGCACTGGTTCTTGTACGGGATAGTTTGTCCGATGGGTTCGATATTCGGTAGCCTTCATCCTAGGACCCAACCCAACTGTGACGTCGATTTTTATTCAGATCGGACAGAGTTAAACCGAGCTGCCCGCTCCAGACAGACAGAGACGCAGACAGACAGAGACTTTTAGCACTGGTTCTTGTTTGTGAGAGTTTGACCGATGGGTTCGATATTCGGCGGGGTTCATCCTGGGACCCAACCCGACTCTGTCGTCGATTTTTATTCAGATCGGACAGAGTTAACCCGAGCTGCCTGCTACAGACAGACAGAGACACAGACAGACAGACGGAGACTTTTAGCACTGGTTCTTGTTCGCGAGAGTTTGTCCGATGGGTTCGATATTCGGCGGGGTTCGTCCTGGGACCCAACCCAACTGTGCCGTCGATTTTGATTCAGATCAAACAAAGTTAAACCGAGCTGCCCGCTACAGACAGACAGAGACACAGACAGACAGACAGGGACTTTTAGCACTGGTTCTCGTTCGCGAGAGTTTGTCCGATGGGTTCGATATTCGGTAGCCTTCATCCTGGGAGCCAACCCGACTCTGTCGTCGATTTTGATTCAGATCGGACAGAGTTTAACCCGAGCTTCCCGCTACAGACAGACAGAGACACAGACAGACAGACAGAGACTTTTAGCACTGGTTCTTGTACGGGATAGTTTGTCCGATGGGTTCGATATTCGGTAGCCTTCATCCTGGGACCTAACCCGACTCTGTCGTCGATTTTGATTCAGATCGGACAGAGTTTAACCCGAGCTGCCTGCTACAGGCAGACAGAGACACAGACAGACAGACAGAGACTTTTAGCACTGGTTCTCGTTCGCGACAGTTTTGTCCGATGGGTTCGATATTCGGCGGGGTTCATCCTGGGACCCAACCCGACTCTGTCGTCGATTTTTATTCAGATCGGACAGAGTTAACCCGAGCTGCCTGCTACAGGCAGACAGAGACACACACAGACAGACAGACAGGGACTTTTAGCACTGGTTCTCGTTCGCGAGAGTTTGTCCGATGGGTTCGATATTCGGTGGGGTTCGTCCTGGGACCAAACCCAACTGTGCCGTCGATTTTGATTCAGATCGGACAGAGTTAACCCGAGCTGCCTGCTACAGACAGACAGAGACACAGACAGACAGACGGAGACTTTTAGCACTGGTTCTTGTTCGCGAGAGTTTGTCCGATGGGTTCGATATTCGGTAGCCTTCATCCTGGGACCCAACCCGACTCTGTCGTCGATTTTGATTCAGATCGGACAGAGTTTAACCCGAGCTGCCCGCTACAGACAGACAGAGACACAGACAGAGACACAGACAGACAGGGACTTTTAGCACTGGTTCTTGTACGGGATAGTTTGTCCGATGGGTTCGATATTCGGCGGGGTTCGTCCTGGGACCCAACCCGACTCTGTCGTCGATTTTTATTCAGATCGGACAGAGTTAACCCGAGCTGCCCGCTACAGACAGACAGAGACACAGACAGACAGACGGAGACTTTTTAGCACTGGTTCTCGTTCGCGAGAGTTTGTCCGATGGGTTCGATATTCGGTGGGGTTCGTCCTGGGACCAAACCCAACTGTGCCGTCGATTTTGATTCAGATCGGACAGAGTTAACCCGAGCTGCCTGCTACAGGCAGACAGAGACACAGACAGACAGGGACTTTTAGCGCTGGTTCTTGTACGGGATAGTTTGTCCGATGGGTTCGATATTCGGCGGGGTTCGTCCTGGGACCCAACCCGGACAGGCAGTCGTGTGGGTGGACAACGAGCGGGTGGTACCAGCGAGGGGTTGTCCACCACGTAGGTCGACTCAGAGGAGTTCTGCAGCTCATCCTGAGGCTCAACGTCCAACTGCATGGGCTCCACAGCAGCCTGTAGGGGAGGGGGGGAGAGGGGGGGAGAGGGGGGGAGAGGGGGGAGAGGGGGGGAGGGGGAGAGGGGGGGAGAGGGGGGAGAGAGAGGGGGGGAGAGGGGGGAGAGGGGGAGGGGGGAGAGGGGGGAGAGAGGGGGAGGGAGAGGGGGGGAGAGAGGGGGGAGAGGGGGGGGAGGGGGAGAGAGAGATGGGGAGGGGGGGAGAGGGGGAGAGGGGGGGGAGGGGGAGAGGGGGGGAGAGAGGGGGAGAGAGGGGGGGGAGGGGGAGAGGGGGGGGAGGGGGGGAGAGGGGGGGAGAGGGGGGAGAGAGAGGGGGGGAGAGAGGGGGAGGGAGGGGGGGAGAGGGGGGGGGAGAGGGGGGGGGAGAGGGGGGGGAGAGAGGGGGAGAGGGGGGGGGAGAGGGGGGGGAGAGAGGGAGAGAGGGGGGGAGAGAGGGGGGGAGGGAGGGGGAGAGAGGGGGAGAGGGGGGGGGAGAGGGGGGGGAGAGAGGGAGAGAGGGGGGGAGAGAGGGGGAGGGAGGGGGGGGAGGGGGGAGGGAGAGAGGGGGAGGGGGGAGGGAGAGAGGGGGAGAGAGGGGGGGAGAGGGGGGGGGAGAGGGGGGGGAGAGAGGGAGAGAGGGGGGGAGAGGGGGGGAGGGAGGGGGGGGAGGGGGAGGGAGAGAGGGGGGGAGAGAGGGGGGGGGGAGAGGGGGGGGAGAGAGGGGGAGAGAGGGGAGAGAGGGGGGAGAGAGACAGGGGAGAGAGTGAATGGACAGTTTAACACGAAGGCTTTCGCGACCAATATTATTGATAAGAGTGAATGGAGTTCGTGTGCTCGCGAGCGCCAGCAGCAGCAGCACTTGCCCCAACAGCCCTGCCAGAGGCTACCCGGGTGTCTGGGGACACCTTTGGCTGTGTCTGTGTGCGAGTCTGGTCACGTGAGCAGGGCCTGCACCCACCACCACCACAATGGGGCAACCAGATCGTGCCGGTGTTTGGACAGCTGGTGGAGCACGTGACCACAAACACAGACACACACACACCTACACACACACCTACACACAGACACACCTACACACAGACACACCTACACACAGACACCTACACACACACCTACACACAGACACCTACACACAGACACCTACACACAGACACCTACACACAGACACCTACACACACACACCTACACACAGACACACCTACACACACACCTACACACACACACCTACACACCTACACACACACCTACACACAGACACACCTACACACACACCTACGCACAGACACACCTACACACACACAGACACACCTACAGACACACACACACCTACACACACACCTACACACAGACACACCTACACACAGACACACCTACACACAGACACACCTACACACACACCTACACACACACACCTACACACACACACCTACACACAGACACACCTACACACAGACACACCTACGCACACACCTACACAGACACACCTACACAGACACACCTACACACAGACACACCTACACACACAGACACACACACACCTACACAGACACACACACTACACACAGACACACACACTACACACAGACACACCTACACACACAAAGACAAACACACACCTATACACAGACACACAGAAACACCTACACACACCTACACACAGGTACACACACCTACACACAGGTACACACACACACAGGTACACACACACCTACACACACACCTACAGGTACACACACACCTACACACACACATACACAGGTCCACACACAGACACAAAGACAAAGATCCCCCGTATAGCCTTAACAGACTGTAGGGGCAAGTGCTGTTAGCGAGCACCTATGAAGGCCGGAACGGTACACGAGGGGGTGGGTGGCCAGCACCACGCCCGACCGCCTTTGTCTCCCCAGTGGCAATGTTTACACACCGCACCAGGTACTAATTTCAGGCTGAGTCGACCTAGGGGAGGCCCGGGACCGGTTCAGATAATCGTCACTGGTGTTGGCCGTGAGCGGGAATCGAACCCGGGTCGCCAGGTTCATAGCGCAGCGTAGCGCTAACCGCTACACTATCGCTCCCCACAGGCACACACAGTGTCACACACACAGACACACACACAGGTACACACACACAGTGTCACACAGACACAGGCACACACACACATAGGCACAAGAGCCATCTCTAACACCTGCCTTTAACACACACACACAGACACACACACAGACAGACACACAGGACTTCTAACACCTGCCATTAACACACACAGGCACAGGTACACACACACAGGTACACACACACAGGTACACACACACAGGCACACACACACAGGTACACACACACAGGCACACACACACAGGTACACACACACAGGTACACACACACACAGGCACACACACACACACAGGTACACACACACAGGTACACACGCGCGCGTGCTCTCTCGATCACACAGGTAAACACACGCGCCATCTGTACCACCTGCTTTTAAAAGAGAGACAAAGCTCCCCCAGGTAGCCTCTAGCAGGGCTGTAGGGGCAAGTGCTGTTAGCGAGCGAGTAGCAACAGCAGTGTCTATGTACTACACACACCACACACACAGACAAAGCTCCCCCAGGTAGCCTCTAGCAGGGCTGTAGGGGCAAGTGCTGTTAGCGAGCACCTATGAAGGCCGGAACGGTACACGAGGGGGTGGGTGGCCAGCACCACGCCCGACCGCCTTTGTCTCCCCAGTGGCGATGTTTTTATCCACTGCACCAGGTACTCATTTGAGGCTGAGTCGACCTAGGGGGTGCCCGGGACCGGTTCAGATAATCGTCACTGGTGTTGGCCGTGAGCGGGAATCGAACCCGGGTCGCCAGGTTCATAGCGCAGCGTAGCGCTAACCGCTACACTATCGCTCCTCACACACACACAGTGTCACACACACACAGACACACACAGGCACACACACACAGACACACACACAGGACTTCTAACACCTGCCGTTAACACACACACACACACAGGTACACACACACAGGTACACACACACACACAGGTACACACACACACAGGCACACACACATAGGTACACACACAGGCACACACACACACAGGTACACACACACAGGTACACACAGGACCTCTAACACCTGCCATTAACACACACACAGGTACACACACACAGGCACACACACACACACAGGTACACACACACAGGCACACACACACACAGGTACACACACACAGGTAAACACACGCGCCATCTGTACCACCTGCCTTTAAAACAGAGACAAAGCTCCCCCAGGTAGCCTCTAGCAGGGCTGTAGGGGCAAGTGCTGTTAGCTAGCGAGTAGCAGCAGCAGTGGCTATGTACTACACACACCACACACAGACAAAGCTCCCCCAGGTAGCCTCTAGCAGGGCTGTAGGGGCAAGTGCTGTTAGCTAGCGAGTAGCAGCAGCAGTGTCTATGTACTACACACACCACACACACAGACAAAGCTCCCCAGGTAGCCTCTAGCAGGGCTGTAGGGGCAAGTGCTGTTAGCGAGCACCTATGAAGGCCGGAACGGTACACGAGGGGGTGGGTGGCCAGCACCACGCCCGACCGCCTTTGTCTCCCCAGTGGCGATGTTTACACACCGCACCAGGTACTCATTTGAGGCTGAGTCGACCTAGGGGAGGCCCGGGACCGGTTCAGATAATCGTCACTGGTGTTGGCCGTGAGCGGGAATCGAACCCGGGTCGCCAGGTTCATAGTGCAGCGTAGCGCTAACCGCTACACTATCGCTCCCTTCACACACACACACAGTGTCACACACACACAGACACACACAGACACACACACACAGGTACACACACAGGTACACGGACACACATAGGCACAAGAGCCATCTCTAACACCTGCCTTTAACACACACACAGGCACACACACACAGACACACACACACAGGACTTCTAACACCTGCCTTTAACACACACACAGGTACACACACACAGGCACACACACACAGGTACACACACACAGGCACACACACACACAGGTACACACACACAGGCACACACACACACACAGGAACACACACAGGTACACACACACACAGGAACACACACACAGACACACACACAGGTACACACACACAGGTACACACACACACAGGTACACACACACACAGGAACACACACACAGGTACACACACACAGGTACACACACACAGGTACACACACACAGGTACACACACACACAGGTACACACGCGCGCTCTCTCGATCACACAGGTAAACACACGCGCCATCTGTACCACCTGCCTTTAAAACAGAGACAAAGCTACCCCAGGTAGCCTCTAGCAGGGCTGTAGGGGCAAGTGCTGTTAGCTAGCGAGTAGCAGCAGCAGTGTCTATGTACTACACACACCACACACACAGACAAAGCTACCCCAGGTAGCCTCTAGCAGGGCTGTAGGGGCAAGTGCTGTTAGCTAGCGAGTAGCAGCAGCAGTGTCTATGTACTACACACACCACACACAGACATAGCTCCCCTAGGTAGCCTGTAACAGACTGTAGGGGCAAGTGCTGTTAGCGAGCACCTATGAAGGCCGGAACGGCACACGAGGGGGTGGGTGGCCAGCACCACGCCCGACCGCCTTTGTCTCCCCAGTGGCAATGTTTACTACACACCGCACCAGGTACTCATTTGAGGCTGAGTCGACCTAGGGGAGGCCCGGGACCGGTTCAGATAATCGTCACTGGTGTTGGCCGTGAGCGGGAATCGAACCCGGGTCGCCAGGTTCATAGCGCAGCGTAGCGCTAACCACTACACTACCGCTCCCCACACACACACAGTGTCACACACACACACAGACACACACACACAGGTACACACACAGGTACACGCACACACATAAGCACAAGAGCCATCTCCAACACCTGCCTTTAACACACACACACAGGTACACACACACACAGGTACACACACACACAGGTACACACACACAGGCACACACACACACAGGTACACACAGGACCTCTAACACCTGCCATTAA